GGTTTAGATGGTCGTACTTACAGGCCCTCTTCATATAGCTGAAATGTTGCCTACTGCGGCCTTAACAACAAGGCTTATGAGTGAGTTTGGTTTAAAACCGCTTTAAACAGTATTTCAGTTATACTACTCAAAGTCTGCTTAGGATCACCACTTTAAACGGGAATATATCACATTGTGTGCAACAGGCCAGAGACAATATTGCGTGATGACATGGTTAAGGACCATTAGTCATGTACCAAACAATGGTTGCCAAGGGATTGTTCCGATCTTTAGCAAGAGCATTGCTGAATTCCTGTACAGTAGCCGGAAGGACAGAATGTCGTGAGAGGGCTATCTGCAGATCGTTCCACATGTGTTCGATAGGGTTGGTGACCGGGCTGGCCACTCCATGCGGACAATGGTCTCCTACTCTAAGTAGGCATCAACGATCCTGGCACGATGAGGTCGTACGTTATCGTCCATGAGGATGAAGTCCGGCCTGATTGCGCCAGCATGCGATCTCACGTACACATCCAGAATATCAACCCTGTAGCGCACACCTGTCATCGTGCTCCAGCTCTACTGATCCCACCCCAAATCATGATTGAGCCACTCCATAGCGGTCATGTTCGGCTACGTTGGAATGCTGAAATCTTTCTTCATGTCTTTCACTCTGGCACGACAATCTGTGAAGTCTCGACAGTATTTCGATTCATCAGGGAAAATAGTGGAGCCCTGTCCTGGTCTGTCCAACTGACGTGATCTTCAGCCCAATTCAAACGTGCCTGCCTGTGATGTTGGGTCATTGGGATGCGAATGCATCACGGAGACTATTTCTAACTGTCTAAGTAGAAACGTTAAAGCCACTAGCGTTCCGCGGGTCATTTCTGAAAGTGGTGGCAGTCACGAAGTGATGACGCCTTACTACAATCAGGAGAAACCTGGCTTCCCGCTGCGTGGTGGAACGCCATGTCGCTTGGTTGCTGATCCAAACGTCTGATATCGATTCCATGCCCTGTTGATCACTTGGCTGACACCAAAGACGTTTGAGATGTGACGTTGTGTTAACCAATTTTCAAGCATGCCTATGCATCTGTCTAATATAATCGGTCCTCAAACGTCGTCTCTGACACTGAGGGGGCATTCGATTGTTGCATTCGTCAGTAGCAAATATTGTTTTGCTCTCCGAAAATGATGTGCAGTGATTCTGTCACTATACATCGAAACACAGGTTTTCAAGCTCATTGTGCACATTGTGCCCATGACTGCGTGCTTCGGTCCGTTCATCATGACACTAAGGTCCTGTAGGGGTTACCCAATCATTGTGTACCGGGCTTTTTCCATCTGTATTTGTTGGATGACTTGTTTATGTCATCAAAACTCAAAATTGATCCTCAGCAAACTTTGAGTAGTATAAATATATACAACAGAAGTTTACTACTTTACTTCTGGTGAAAACCCACGAACATAGGTATGCTGTTGACAAACCAAGGGTCTGGTATTCGAAACCACGACCAGAGGATCCTAGCACAAACTAAGGGACGCAACTCCCCACAAGAATTACAGCAGCTTAAACTAGTGGGCCAACGTGGCTCCTCTGTACAAAGATGAATACCCTGTATGTGTTTTTTTATCGATGGCATAAAAACGCGGTTCTCCTTCCTGCGTTAGATACTTAAATCATTTCACAAGGTGGCGGCTTCAAGCATATACTCGGCGTACATCCCGACGTCGCACAGTGAGCCCATCTTACTCCAGATATGCAGTAAAATAGGTCATTATATGAATCACGATGTGAAGATGTACCCGATACCCTTTTAACGTGATTCACGCGGCTTTGTGCTTGGGATGTTATACTAAAAGGATTACACTGGCTTTGCAATTTCCACCACAAACAAAACATCTCAGAGACACCATACATAAAATAATATATTTTCGATTTTTAAGAGGGTGTAAAGAAATATATTTTTTTATCAAAAAACGCAAAGAAATGTTTAATCTGTGTAACGCCTGATTGCACTATATGTAATGCAAAAGGGTAATTATCTATTAACATTGCTGCAACTCACTGTCTGTTTCTTAAATGTAATGCCATATTTAAAGTGAGTACCCAAAACCTCTGTTTCTATTTTAGAGATTATATTTGTGGATATTATGAGTGTGTGTTATGACTCATATCGTAATGGTCCCCTTGACAGTTTGAACTGTGATAGCCTTCACCTTTCAGGGACATCATATTAATCGGAAACACCAAAAAAAACAATTTGCACTGGATGGTATGTGTACCGGGACCTTGCACTCTCACCCATTGTTGTTGATGTTAACATATTCATAATAGCGGCTGGTGTCACGGGAGTTATTAACCCTGTGTCACAATGCACACTCTGATTGACTGACTGTCTGTCAGAAGGTGACGCCATCGATCACTGGGGCCACGTCATCACTCAAGCACACATGTAGTTGGATATATCAGAGTTAGCTGTTAACGGGTCACAAAAAAACCACATGTCCAACAAAGAAAATACGGAAGGAATTAGAAACAAAGAAAACGTGACGGTATTATATGTTTAACTTTGGTAAAAAGAGGACTAAGTGAAAGTTGACGTGAAAGTTTCCGTATACGGGTTCTGTACAGGTTTTAACAACATCGAATTTACGAGATGGGGTGATCTGGTCACGTGATCTGCCCATACTCAGGTGGGTCGGGTTTGCAAGTTTCGAAGGGGAAGGAATTCTCCCCTACGTGTTTTCGTTTAGTCTGCCCTGACTGCAAGATTGTCAAGGAACTTTGTAAACAGAGAGTTGCTCCGCTGCTGGTCCTGGTTAAACACTCTCCCTCGCTCCCCCTGGCGTCCCCTCCCACGCATACCTGTTCACAATGACAAGTAGCCATCACCCGACACTGCAAAAGTCGCATGTTCTCTTTCGACCAATACGCAATTGACGATCAGCTACACCATAATGCATCCGTGGGCTTCATTCATGCGTTTGTACTACTGTGTTAAAGAGCAGGGACTGAATTGAAAAAGGCCATACACTCGTAAAACATGTATTAGCGTCAGTGTGATTCAAAGTCTAGCCAGTGCACATGAATATCTGACAACATTTGTTCATCTACAATACACAGCGTTTCCGTCTTTTGAATACCACGGACCCCACATATACATTAAACTAGTACTTCTGCACTTTTATAGGTGTTTTTGCCTTGGACATTCAAGGCTAAGCTCTGTATCTATGTATGCATGACGTTTTTTCTTGCTCTTTGATCATCAAAGCAGTAAAGCGTTTGGATGAAACCTCTCTGATGTACAACAACCTGCAATAGTACTGTAACAGTACTTTAGTTGATATCTAGGTACAAACCTCTGTCTGTCTTTACTGCTACAGTTAAAATCAAACCAATGGTATTCTCCCTGCCTCATGGCATTCATTCACCTGATGAAGGAGTAAGCATATACTCCAAAACGTTGTGTTCCTCATAATAAATAATATCAATATGACATCAATATATTCTCTTCCTTAAACCACATATATACTCTGTTTGATATGGTATTGCCCTGGACACGCTAGAGACAATGTCCAATAAGTCGACAGTGTATGATGCAAGGCAAAACAAATATGACTCTGGTTTCTGGTATTTTTTATCACCTCTTTAACTCGTCATAAAAAATAACAATAATTATTAATGACTCACCTATTCTACCGACCAGTGAATGTTAAGCACATAATAACAGTATATATATTTTCCTAATATCCCTAGATCCGAGGATTCGAGCTACTCGTTACTGCAAACGAGGACATGATAGTGTATTTAGTCATGAGACTCTAATAAAGAAAACGGTCAAAATAAAAACAATTACTGATTATACGATGCTTTTCACGGGTGTGGCAAATTATGCTATGTGACACGACCCTGAATGAGATGCTATTCGGGTGCCGAAGCACGTGGTATCTCATTCAGAAGAGGACATTAGAATGCGATCACCTTCCCGCACTGAGTGGTACAACTGTCTCTATGATGCAACAGCGCAAGACACAGTAAGGCAGCGAGTGCGAAGATCCTATGTAAAAGGGCTTGGCTGAAAGTTGTCTCACGGTAGATTTCTATGGTAAACATTCAGAGCATGATGAGTTTATCTTTTTTAGTGAGGAAAATATATCAACATATATATCCTGCATGGCAGTCGTGTTCTTTTCATGCCCTTATTATAACCGGATGTTCCTCCAATGCAGGTAATTGATGCATTGTACCATATATCAAGAGAATGCTGACGGTCATAGTGTATTGGTTGAAAATTTATATTGTTTGACTCCATTGAATATTTTTAATTCCCCATTAGCATGAAAAGAAGAAACTAAGTTTAAATAATTCATCATGCACTAAATTTCAATGATAGAAAGTCAAAAGTAATTGAAACATGATTGAATTGCGGTTTCATGATAAGTAGGTCAATAAACCCTTTTGTCTGACATTGTTAATTTAACTAAATTCCGGTTTAATTGATAATTATAATAACAATGTAATCCAATTGGAAGCACTACAACGACATCAATTGACAAGACTCCAAGAAAACCTGTGCCTACAAATGTGTGTGTATCCAAGATGTACTGTGTGTTTTATTGGGTAAATATGTCTTTGTGTCACCACAAACAAGACCTGAACATTTCACTTCCCTGACCTACCTTTCAGGTATACTCGGTAAAGTTAAACATGCTTTTCAACCTAGTCATCGAGACCTCGGTGTAGGGCACGAAATAAATGCGTATCAAACGACGCTGTCAATATGGGGAACACAAGTGATAAATATATCATCTGTCTAGTATCTATCACCAGATCACGTCACACTGTCGTGGGTTGATTTGATGTCAAGTCCATATCGCTTGATAATACCTGTGCTGATGAAGTTCGACCTGATTACCGATAAATCTATTTAAGATTCTGATGCACACAGATACATAAGGTTGAACAAAAACAAATAAGTTATTATCAATTATATACCTAATATTCTTAATTGGCTTACCTGAACCGTGGCAGATGACTTCAGTGTTATCCGACGACGTTCGTTTAAAATATATCTCAACAGAATCATCCGAACTCCCTGCTTGTTTTTTCTTGTGTTTTCGGCGTAAAATCCCTCTGCCTTCGATAAACTCCGAAAGAAATACCATCAGGGTGAAGACAATCACGAAAAACACCAATTGGTTTATTTGAGACATGATTTATCGTCTGTAAGTAGCGTCCAGTACTCGCATGTTCCCACAGTCTCGCGGTGTTATGTCGTCTGGGTGCTTGTATCGTCTGCTTAGTCACGTGATCGTAAGGTATCGGGGTCACAGCTAACAAAGCCGTATTTCGGTATTTACCAAGCAGCCGGCGAACATACACAAGTTTTTACTTCACACTGACAAGAAAAATGCGTCTAAACTACGTACATGAAGTATATTGGTGTAGTAATATTATGACAAAGTATAGGTTATGATAAACGCATGTGCTCGTTTTGAATTTAATAATAGCCTTACTGCTTGAATGATTAAAAAAATTATATTACCTGTTTATGGTTATTAAATGAAACTATTATGCACGGTTGAACACACGAATCACCTGTTGGTATCTGTATCGATGTGGCCAAATGTAGACAGCTTTATACCTGTGGGACTCGATAGGGTCATAGATTTGCATTCATTAAGAGCCTAATTCAGGTCAGGTGAGGTGGGGCTTATCGTCACGTTCAAGATTATTGCACTTATATTGTGACGTGCATGTACCTTAGTGTGTGTGTGTGTGTGTGTGTGTGTGTGTGTGTGTGTCCCCTTAATGCCGAGCGCCAGGTAGGGTAACAATAAGTACCATGTTTTAAAGTATTTAATATGACGCGACCGGGGATTGAACCACCCAACTTCCGCTCTCAAGACAGGAGCTCTGTCCACTTGACCAAGAAGGCAGTGCTTAATTTAGGAGAAAAACTCGCTGTGTCCTGTGAAAAGTAGAGGAATGCTTAACCGAATTGATAGCCTCCAATTTCATATGAAAATGAAATAAAATAGAGGTATCAATTCGGTATAACATTCCACTAATTTTCAAATACGGTGTGTCTGTCTCAATTCTACCATGTATTCAAGTATATTGAACGGAACCATGGTAGACTATACAGCTAATACTAGGACACAAAGCACGCGCACATTGCATGGTTCTAGATATTGAGATTATACATATTATAAAAAGCACATATAAGGCAGATATATTTTGGGATCATTTTTCCAATATAACCGGATTAATAAAATATCATACGATATTTACGAGTTACAAGGCGGTGCGGCCTTTGGAAAAGGGGCTTGCATTGTACATACTAGATGGGTGGGATATATATGAACAAAGGTAATGTTGGATTTCCTCAAACAAAATGAAGAAGAATAAAATTGTTCTTTTGTTTTCTTGTTTATGTGTTTGTTTGTTTGTTTGTTTAACGCCACACTCAGCAATATTCCAGCTATAAAATGGCGGTCTGTAAATAATCGAGTCTGGAATAGACAATTCAATGATTGACATCACGAGCACCGAGCTACGCATTTGGGATACGATGACATGCATCAACCAAGTCAGCGAGACCAGACCACCCGATCCCTTTAGTCGCCTCTAACGGCAAGCATGGGTTGCTGAAGACCTATTCTACCCCGGATTTTAAGAGAAATCTGTTTCTGTTCTCTTTTAAGAGAAAGGGTTATTCCACGGCGGCCTATAGATAATCGAGAACAGACAAACCAGTGCTTAATATAAAGAGCAACGTTCCACGCCATCGGGTTACGATGACCCAGTAATAACACGCAATCTTACAAGCAATGGGAACTAACGTACCAACGGGTTGTACAGCATCATGTGCGTTAGGATCGTAACCTTTTTCATAAACAACACCATAGCATAGACATGGCATTTCAAACGCTTAAATCATAAATCTGTTGATTACCAATTAGTTTGATTTCCAGCATGTGCTGTGCCCCTAGATAGGGCGATCAGAGCTCCCTGGCTGTCACCAGGGGGGGGCCTTACGTTAAACACTCACTCACTCACTCACTCACTCTGAGACCTTCATTACTTCGGGCTTTCCTCCATGCTAACAGGCCGTTTTAAAACTGAATTCTCATTCACTTGCTCGCCCGCCCACTCACTCACCCATCCACCCGCCCAAAACTCAAAGTTATGTTTTCAGATATGACAAGAGTCAAATGATATCTTCAGATAATATCCCACGGATGACTCATCCCCTCACACCACTGTCGGTGTGCACCTGTTGAGGTGAAGGAGCCAAGGTGGGACTGCCACGGCGTGGGTGGGATACAAAGGGGTGGGGTAGCGCGTTATGCCGACATGCTCGAGGGTCATACGCCTCCATCTGTGAGCTGACAATCATGTTATTGCCATATTCAGATGTGTTGGGGACATTTGGGCTTTCTTACCTATTGGTGTGTGAAGTCTACCCCATTTATAACGTCCTTTAAGCTCGGGAGGATTAACGCCTATCTCTATTCCATTAAAACGCAGTGTACAAACACGGTCTGTATTCTAGAGCCCGACTCAGTAGCCACGAGTCCTATGAAGATTCAAGCAACGGGAACAATTATTCCTAAGTGAACGAATTAGATATTCAGTCTAGAAATGAACTCGGCACCAACAAAGAAATGAACTCGAGAGAAACGACATATCGATTGAAAAGTTAATCATCTTACGTTTGAGCAATGTTTTTTCTTGAATGGTGAAAGATTTATGTTTGAATGAAACTTTATTGAATATTTTCTTTTAACATATAGAAAGTTATTTCTTTTTGAAGTTAGACACCTAAAGTTAGGATTTGGTCAGCATCAAACCTTAGTGACCATTCCGCGCATCCGCCATGAATGTCTTTGCTCGATCACAGTGTATCTATTGTAGGATATGTTGTCTTGTTGTAATAAGGATCGGTTGTCCAAAATGGCTGCTGGTCACGGGCAGTAGTTGAACCTGATAAACAAAAGACCTCACTAGGTAAGACCACAATGTCCAGTATGCCAAAACGAGCAGCTTGAATTAAATCCTGTTCCCCACACTCGAGCTATCTCTACGCTTCTCTTTCACTTGAATCGAAGGAAACTCCTATTATGTAAGAGTGAGTGAGTGAGTGACTAAATGAATGGTGTGTATTGGTCATGCTTCTAGTCACTGGGGGCGGTCGGGTAGCCTTGTCGTTAAAGCGTTCGCTCGTCACGCCGAAGACCCGGGTTCGATTCACGACATGGGGACAATGTGTGAAGCCCATTTCTGCTGTCCCCCGTCGTGATATTGCTGGAATATTGCTAGAAGCGGCGTAAAACCTTACTCACTCACTCACTCACTCACTCTAGTCACTGGTTTGCCTGGTCCAGACGGGATTATGCACAGGCGGCTGCTTAAATATTGCTGACTGCGACGGTAAACAATATTCACTCTCTCACCATACCTTGTTTCAATAACCGGAATATTCATAGGATGGGCAAATTGGTAGCAATGCTTAATATGAATTCAACCGATTTAATAATTACATTGAAACGTTGATTCATGGAAAATCTTCATTATTCACAACGAATGTCAATAAACAGTGAAACATCCTTAAAATGGATTTAATGTGTCAAAAAGACTGAACATGAGTCATGTCTTTGTTGCAAGCTGATGTTCTAAGATGTAGTACACACTTATGATAAGAAGCTTATCTTTGACCAAGGACTTGATCTCGATGAATAGGGGGCGGTGCAGTAGTGTAGTGGTCAGTGCGTTCCTTCGTCACACAAAAGGCCCGTGTTCGATCTCTGCATGGGTGCCATGTGTTATTCCCCGCCGTGATAGTGCTGGGCGGTTGCTAAAAACGGCGTTAAGCTATACTCACTCACTCGCCAAACAGGGGGGTTGGGGCGGTAGCTAAGTGGTTCATGCTTTTGTTCGTCACGCCAAGGCATGGGTTCGATTCCCCGCATGAGTGCAATGTGTGAGGCCATTTCTGTGTCCCTGACGTGATATTGCTGGACGATTGATAAATGCGGCGTACAACAATACTCGCTCATTCGACAAATGGACCCTCTCACTCATTTAGTCAAACCAATGAGTAGTTGTTGGCCATCTGATAAGTTTAATGTTTTCCGCAAAATAAAATCTAAAAGGACCACAACTTAAAATAAAAAGGGCCCTAGTTTACCCTGCCTTGTCCTTCCATTTAAGCGAATATTAGTTGGCGATGTAGCGGGAGAGGGAAAACAGACATGATCAATTTGATATGAAGCGTTTTCATGAATCACAGCAATACTCATAATTCTAACATAGCAACATTTACTTTATTACTGAAAGGTAGAGCCGTACATGTTGCTTTTCACAATATGTTTTTGGAAAATCCAGTGTTTCCAGAGAACATGTTTTTTCTTCTTTTTTTAAAAAACTGCGAAAGGATGGAATTTTCTTATCTTAGCAGCAATTGCATCATTGGTGCTCATGGCTTCTACCAGTATACGATGTACGATTAGAACAACATGGGTCTCGTATTCATTCCCATCCTCACAAGGTTCATTCACAGCCTTCCTCCTACATATTTGGTTGTACAGGCCCCGTAGAGGAGTTTGACATTAAGCCTCCATGCGGCGAGAATACCGTTATATGTCACGGGGTAATTGTGTCGAGTAGTATACCTGCATTAAGTAACAGATACCAACTGGGGTTTGCATGTGGCATTCACAGGAATATACCAGAATGGTGTGCTGTACATATGGACCTGTAATACAGTATTCGCTCGGTATGCAAGATATCGGAACATGAATCTAACCTATCTATATCTATATCTATATGTTTAAAATTGGCTGTTGTGAATTAATGGCAATGGGAGTTACGATGTACAGTCTAGTGCATTGAGGAAATAAACGATGTATTAAATTAAATACAAGGTTATAAAGTCTATATCACTCAATTTTGACCTTGCCTTGATTGGTCACTCATTATTGCTGATGAACGAGTGAATGAGTGCGTCAAACCAAATTCACTCACTCACTTCCTTTTAGACATCTTTTGTAAGTCGCTGTGGTGATATTAAACCAAAACTTCACGTACACAAAAACATGGAGGTATGTAATGTATCAACATCGACCCGTACGCAACACGCAGACAACCTATGAATGGACTTCACATTTCAGTCCAAGCTCTGTCTGATAGTGCACAATATTCATTCATTCAACGTTGCTGAACAGTACATATTAAAAACTTGAACACGACTGAACTCCTTCTGTGGGTTGAAATGTGCTTGACATTTCCTTTGTTAGCAACATCAGACCACACCCACTGCGTCCTACAACAGCGCGGGGGCGGAAAACCAGATAGCCGTTCAACAGGGAGCCCGCCTTTACCCTTGTCATTTATGGTATCTTGATT